CAACCAACTGACAACAGCTCCACAGAGCAGACATTATGTAAAATGGGACATCAACACCAATAAACACAGAAATATTTCCCACACTAAAAAAATAGAGCATTCTGTCCATTACGGTTTTATGGTTTCAGGCCTTATGCTTATTGCTTATTAATAAAACATTAGCTCTGGCTAATTAGCTAATTTAAACACCTAGTCTGCTGATGATCTGTCAGAGAGTAAGCTTTTTTTAACTGAATTCTGCAGCACATCTACATCCTAAGGTTGTCAAAGTCAAGCTAGCATAATGAATTATCTAGTTAACATAATTAATTATTCATTTCATAGTGAACATTTGTATTTATTGTTTTCTATGGGCTGATATTGGCCACGGAAAGGTCTTGAATTTTGACATGGAAAATTTGTACTCTCCCAGTCCTTTATATTCACTAAACATACAGCACCTTATGTTTCTTCTGACCCAGTTGTGGCCATCTATGACTACACGAAGGACAAGGAGGACGAGCTGTCCTTCATGGAAGGCGCCATCATCTACATCATCAAAAAGAACGACGACGGATGGTTCGAAGGCGTCTGCAACGGCGTCACCGGACTCTTCCCAGGAAATTACGTCGAATCAATCATGCATTACGCTGACTAAAGAAAATAACCCAAAAATGCGAAGAAAAACCTCCAATAATGGAGCTCAGTTTTTTTTTTTTTTTTATACATAAGATCTACATATGTACAGCCGTATGACGAGAAACGAAGCTCCCATTTTGAGTAAAGTGCCATGGTGATTCTTTTTCTTTTAAAGGATTTTACTTAGATCCGCGCGCGCGAGTTGTGCTTGCATTTATTTAGTCTACTAAAATACGAATGTTGCACAAAAACGGGGAAGGAGTTTAACATTTGACAGGCTGCGGTCTGCTAATTTACACTGGAAATACAAAAAGAGGAGCCTCACTCGAATTTACCCTTAACCATACGTTTGTCATTGCAAACTACTATGAAAAATACCGTAGATTCAGTCTGAAAACTGAGACGAGGCTCCTTTTGCTTCAAACCTGATTATTTGCACTGCGGACCACCAGAGCGACTCTTCCCTCCGCTCCGACGGACAACTAAAGCGTCAACAAGTGCATTTAGTTCAGACACGACTGAATGTTCCACGCTGTCTAAATCACGAAAAAACGCTTACGAGCGGGAGTGTGAAGGTGTGTGTATTTACACCGCTCTGTGTCGAATTACAAAGGAAGGTTGTTCAAAATGCATCAATAGACGACAAAAAAAAAGGGACAGTTTCCTTCTTCAGTCTGGTGGAGTTTCTTTCTGTACTCTAACGTGTATATAACGTGTAACGTGACCAACTGCCAGTACATTTTGTCGGTGTGCTTCGTCAGTGGAGGTGAGCGGTGCCAAGGTTCGGTTTCTTTATCAATTTAGCTCATTTTTACTTGAATGTTCCAATTTTTTTTTTGTCCTCATCAGTCACGGTGCCATTTCCGTTTTGGCGAAGTGATTGTGTCTGTTCCGTTCTGATTCGGTCGTCGCCGCTGTACTCGGTGACGCTGTCCGGCTTCAGGACTCATTGTTGCGTCTGTTCGTGTTGTTTTCCTTTGTGTCGTAGCTGCACTGATACTTATCAACGACTGTAGTGACTTTGATTTCCGTCTCGCGGTTGATTGCAACGCGCCGGTCGCCGTCAAGCGGGGAGCTACGAAGGACGCCTCCGGGAGAAGTCGTTTATTCTGCAAACGTTTGCTGGTGCGGTGCTTTCCAGTTGGTGCTCACCGACCCGAACAACCTCAAGTGCGACACTGCTTAACGGAGGACTGTAACGGAGAACGCAGAGGCGTGTCTCTTTATTTTCCAACATCGCTCGCTTTTTGATTGTAAATTCTGTCAATCATATCTGTAATGTGAATGTAGACAAATCAGCAGTAGCGCGCTGTCAGTCACTCCTGATCTCTGGTCCAAGATTCTGTGCTAAACATCTCTAGCTACTGCTGAGAAAATACGTTTAAAGGGATACGTAAGCTTTGCTAAGCTAACATCCTACTAAAAGTTTTAGTAGTAGTTCCCTTACCTGTGGTAGAGGCAGGAAATATTCCAGTGAGTTTGTGGAAAAGTTAAGTCCTCAGCTAGTCAGTCATTGTTTCAGCTAATCTTCTGCTCCTGTCTCCCAGCAGATTAAAATGCTTGAAATTATCAGAAAACCTGGGATGTGATGAATGCAGCGCAGTCCCATAGAAAACAAATATTGTAGGCTCCTTTTTTTTGGTGCCTATTCTACATAAGCGGGCACTAACTACCCCTTGAGTGCACTTGAGTGAAAGTAACAGAAAGTGCTTAAATGACCGACATGTTCGGTCTTTTCATCTGATACTTCAGTGCCTCCCTTTTCTAATGCCGCCCTGTGTAAGTGCCCAGATCAAGAGCCACCACTGCCCTTTGAATACAATGCTACAGTAGAGAATATGACGTAGAGTTAGGGTTCACATGTAAATAACCATAACTCAATCAGCAGAGTTTAATGTAGTAAAACAGATACTGAGTGGCTGAGAAAATAGCAGCAGGAAATGGTATCCTGTGAAATGTAGAGAATAGATATCCACTTATGTAGCAGTGTGCACCGAAGATGTAAACATTTTTCAGTTTCCGTTGTTTTAAATGGAGGAAATACGATAAAACGTCTGTAACTGGCTAGCTGTTAGCCTCCTACCACTCTCACTTTTCTACAAACTCTCTCTACACTCTGCTGCAGGTAAAGGAACCTCACTTCCAACAATATGTGAACTACACCTTTACGGTCTAAGGAATGAGGGCTGTTGGTAGTTTCCTTTCTAAAAAGAAAACCCTGCTCTTACAAAATGATTGTCGGTGGAAGTAAAACTCCTACATATCTCTGAAGCCTATTGATCACACACTCGTTTGTACTTTGAAGTGACGGCTTTTTATCATTTTTACTTTACCAGGGAATGTCCTGATATGAGCAGTATTCGTTCAGCATGATCGTGTATCATTTATAGACTATGATTCTCCAGTGCGTTCCTGTCTTGATTGCATTTGACATCATGAGGCCGTTTGTGTTTTTTTTAAATTGAGAAGACGACTTTTTTTCTACGTGATGCATTTTTAACTTTGTATTTGACTTGTTTTTTTTGTACGTGAGAAACAGCAGAGAAGCGTTTGCTCGCAGTTTGTATGTGAAGGCTTTATTTATACCCTTTTTGTTCTCATTTTGGAAATTATGAACTGGCCACTGGCGGGCAGAAAGTGTTTACTTGCCCCTAATGCCAGGGCATCACGAGACATGGCACCCTTTCTCCAACGTGTTTTCATATGCTCAAACGTGGAATCAAGAAGAAGAAGAAAAAAACAAACGTGTAACTTAAATGTCCATGGGAATAGAATCTGTTTGTCCTCCTCTCAGTTTGTACATAGAATGTGCTCATTGAAATGTATGTACAGTCTTTTTGTAATAAACAGCTCATTGAAACAGATTTTAAAGTTGTTTTTTTTCCAAAACAAAATGGAAATGGAAGTAAAATTCCATATTTTTCAAAATCGTTCATATTTTCCTTGACGTCATATATATGTTTATTGGGACGTGTGGTGACACTCTTGAGTCAGAAAAAAGAGAAAACTGGGACCCTCAAATTTTAGGCAAACTCGATCAGTATGAATTTGCACTTTTTTTTTTCCTGTGGTTGGTTGAAGGTAGCATTAAATAGTACATAGTACATTTCTTCTGATTTTAATAACTTGCTGCTGATTAAGCTTCACATAAACGTGCTTGTAGTTTTAGCAAAGGCAGCAGAGTTTGGCTGTAGCCAGTCGGCTTCACGAACTGTGTCCGAAGTCCTGTGTTAATCAAATTACCGACTTTGCCTGAATTCACACCACATGGTTTATATCACTATGTCATAAACGGCGTTTCCCTTTACACCGGAGAAACATTAAAAACATACGAAAGATGAGATGCTAACCAGTTTTTTTCATAGGCTAAATAACGCAATAGCGAGCCACATCCTGCTCTTGTTGCTGAAAATACACACACACAAATCTGGACAAACATCTTAAATCAGCTTTAATAAAAACAATAAAATAAAATAAAAAATTGTGGCCCAGAAAATACTTTCAGCTTTACAGTTTTGGCCACGTTGGCAAAACGTTTGTACAATACACAGAGTTTGTACAGAGTTAAAGATCTCTTTATCGTCCGACCTCAGAGACAAAGTGATGTCTTGTTGGAAATGGAGAGTAGGACAAATGTCCACAGCAGGACTCCCATGATTGCACTTCTTATACGTTTTTTTTCCATAAACAATTATTTCCTAACCCATTACTGCCTGAATTTTATATTTTTATTTTAAGAAAATTATAAATTGTATTTACATGTATATGTCATTCACACTGTGATCACTAGATGGTGCCAAAGTGCCTCCAAACAGATCCTTTGTGTTAAATAAGCAACAACAGGCAACTGGCAGCAAATTGAGACGATTTCTCAAGAACAATAGTCTAAAAGGGATTAACACAGAATTCCTCTCTCTGACTCTGTACATCCATGATCTACAGTACAAGGTCAAGCTTATACTATGAGGTACAAGCATGACCTTGCACCTTACATTACAAGGTCATGCCAGTGCAAATAAAAATGGGTTTATTTGAGGTCAGAGATGTCCAAAGTGTGGGCCCAGGGACAATTCGCGGCCCACTAAGTGATTATGGACATCCTCTGACCACAAATTTGGAATAAATCACAGACAGTTGATTCAGACATCTATTTGATCTTCCAAGATTGCATTTTCAGACTATATATATATATATATATATATATATATATATATCTTAATTTACTATCCTACTACATTAATCCTTGTTGCAAAGTGCTTCAAAAGAAATATTAAGAGTTTGCAATAATATTTGCACTCTATAATATTGCAATATTGTAGAGTGCACACACACATACACACACACACACACACACACACACAAAAACATACTAGAGCCTCATCCAGACTACAAATTTAATATTAAAAATGTGGAAATTGTAATGATGTTCTATAAATAAACACAATTATACACAACCCATTTTATGTTTCGCGTCTACAATGTTCTATAGATCGCTTTTCTACAAAAATATGACTATTTTGTTTCAAGAAAATTTTGCATGTTAATTTATTATTGAACATATGAAAATAAAAAAGAGGCACATGAAACTTGACTTTAAAATTTTCATTTATAAAGAAATAATTTTTGTGGCCCCCAACAGTTTGTAACTTGACGGTTTTGTCCCTTCTGGGAAAAGATTCGAACACCACTGTTCTAGGCTTCATTTTCTTCCACCTCTTATCCAGAGGTGTGAATAAACGAGACCTGCAAAGTGATACAAACTCCAGGCAAAATGCTGTGCTGAAGGAAGTTCTTGTTTGTCTCAAAGATATTCTTGTCCAGAAGGAGGATTGAAGAAGTCGGGTGTCAGGTGATGGTTTAGTTTCAGTGAAATTAGCTTATGAACTTGGGTACGGGCTTTCCAGGGAGGTAACACTGTTGGATTTCTCTGCAGAGAAATATAAAAAGTTCCAATTTTAGAATCGAAACATTTAGTCAACAGGTTGTCCTTTCCTGATTGTTGTATCGCTACATTTGACGTATCTAGAGAGATTTGGAGGATTTAGCTGGGATGGAGCTGTTTCAGACAAGCCATTCGTTTTTTCTTCTGCATTTCTGGGTTCTCACCTTTGTTTGCTGCCGAGTAGGGAATCTGCAGAATGGATGCTCTGGTCACCGCAGCTTGATAGTTCTTGTACAGCACAGCGCCGTACTGAAACACACACACAGAGGACACACATCTGAGAACACGCAACACAATGCGCATCACAGCGAGCGGCGATGAACCTGACCTTTGCTATTCTGATGGAGTTGACCCAAAGCAGAAGCGTGTGTTTGTCTTCGCAGCACAGGATCTTGATGTAGGGAGACTCCTTCTGGATGCAGGGATGCTAAGACAGAGTATGTTTGTATTTTATTGCAGAAGGACGGTCTCACATTGGAGCATTTGAAAACTGCAACCTTAAATTTCAGTTCACTTTTAACGCTCCACTTAGGTTTGCCCTGAAACAAGAAAGGAATGTGTGGGAAAGCACCTCATGTCTACCGTTAAGTACAGTGGAGGATCTGTAATGCTGTGGGCCTGATTTTCTTCCAAAAATACCTTGTCAGAGTCCATGACTTTATGAATACTTTGAAACAAACAAACAAACAAAAAAAAAAATCAGGTGACCTAAAAAAGTGTTATCAGTGAGTCTTTCAGTGGGACAATGTTCCAGAACGTGGAAAAATAAGCACAGAAATGGTTTACCAAGAAAATCTGCACGGTGAACTGAAGAGGAGTTTGTACAAGAGATGACCCGGGATTCTGGGTGATTTAGATAAATTAATTAATTAATTAATTAAGTAATTAATTAATTAATTGGAAAAAAAAAACAATGGTGAAAAATTGCTTATTTGTCATATTTTTCGATGGGATTTTTGTCCCCTCACTGAATAAATGTATTCTGGTGTTGCATCAATTTGTCATCGTGTGATTACGCCACCATAAAAGCTGGATTTATTTTAAGACTGTTGACGCGTCTAGGTGCCAACAAATGTGCCTGCGTTTGATTAAACCACTGGACTCGGTTGTTTTGCCACAACCCCTCATTTTCCAAACTGGGTCAAGCTGAGATAAGCATGCTGACACTGTTGACATTTTTCATTTAGAGCTACACAGACAATGAATGTATTTTATTATGCCTCGTGTAAGACGCTGAAGGAAATGGTTTCATTATTTTCTTAAATGAGTAGTACAAAAAAAGAGCCAGCAGAGGGCAGTGTGGGCACGCTAAAACTGAAAAAAGAAGGGATTGTATTTGATATTAAATTGTTGTTGTTTTTTACCCGTATCTGGAGAATTTAAGCTGTGCTCTTTTTGTTGTTGTGTAAAACCAAACAATATGTCAGCATGCCCTCTTAAACCTCCAGCTTGATATTTGACTCCACATGTTGTTACCAGCCCTCTTGCTGCTCTCGGATCTTTTCAGCTGAAACTACGGAAACACCTCGGCTCACTCTGGTTTAGGGCACCACCTCGCCGCCCTCTGTTCCTTATTTTGTGCACCGTCTTCCTCTTTCACGTTGCTGTTTTCATATGTGCACCTTCAAGATTTCAGAGGGGGGCTAAAAATACACCCATCTGTGAACTCTGAATGCAGCACATCTGTTAAGCTGCAATAAGCCTGAGTAGCAACTCATTGGTACAAAGTTGATCATGAAACTGCATTTGTTATACTTAACGGCAACTCCTCATGCCAGTCACTCAAGACCAGTTTGAACATTAGGGCGAAAAATATAGTTTCCGCCAGTGAGTGATCAAAGTACTTTTCATAGAGAAAAAAAAAAAAAAACGCCTGAAGAGTAAAGGAGCTCTTTAAATCCTGAACAGCACCTTACCTTTAACAGGAAACAGAAGTCTGTGGGAGCTCGGTATTTCTGTTTGTAGCTGCTGGTGGTGTAGACGTTGACTTTTTCGAAGCGAACAAAACAGGCGAGATCAGTGGAAGACTTTGAAGAGAGAAAGAAATTTTTAGGGTGTGCATTGCTGAGAACTTTGGAAGACGTACAAAGGATGTCGCAACTCCTTCAGGACAAGAATCCGTAGCACCTCTTTGCTGTCATGAGCTACAGCAGATGTGATTCATGGTCTGGCACCACGTTCTGATGAACCGTACCTTTCTCCTCATGTGAAAAGGCCTTTGGACATTGGTTCCCAACCCCTGTCCTCAGGCACTCGTCTTCTCCATGTTTTAAGCGTGTCTTTATTCCAGCACACCTGATTCAAATCATTGCATGACCTCCTCTGTTATGCCAATTGTAATCACTCAGTTGTTTAAGTCAGGTGTGAGGCAGCAAGAAAACACCTGAAACATGCAGGAAAGGGGCGCTTGAGGGTCGGGGTTATAGGAAGTCTTCTGTAACCAACTAGAACTAATACGGCATTTTCTGCCTGGATTTGCAGTCCCGTGATTAAATCTAGCAGTTTTTCACTACCGGACAAAGCACAGCAGCCCCATATCATCACATAGCCGCCACCATGCTTCATTGTCGCCAAGATGTTCTTTATTATGGACAAGCTAGACATGTTTCCGTTAACCTCTGTGACTCATTTATGGAGCTGTGAGGAAACTGGAACCGATTTTTGTGGTTTTGTTCGGCCTGCAGTAGTGTGTGTCTTGGAGTTCAATAAAGAAGGATTTCAGCGTTTAGTTTTTTACCACCTGGCCCTTGGCAGTCGGTGATTGCTTCCTGTTTTTACCCCGACTAGGTGGTGCAGCCACTGCTCCTTCAACTTTAACTCTAAAAACCTTCAGCTGTATCTCTGGGAACAATCACAACCTCTGTTTTGCTTTTGTATTCCTTTTTTTTTCTTGCTTGCACAAGGTAAGAATCTCTTCTCTGGAGATATTAGACAATTATATTGATGGAGTATTCATTGAAAGTAGGATAAATCTAGACAAAAATATTGGAAATGTTACTTTTATTTAACAGTTCCTGTGTGATTTGTTTCTTGGAAGCACCTACACAATTTTGAATGCGGCAAAGGAAGTCTATTTGTAACGGATTGAATAGTTTTAGGTGCAACTGAACTTGATATTTATCAATACATTCTAAAGAATTGTAAAAAAAATAAATAAATAAATAAAAGAATCTGAAAACAAGTTAACATACACAGTTCACAGGACAGTGTCTAAAACCTTTACAGCTTTTCTTCCTGTTTTCTTTCTCAGCAGATGAGAATAATGTTGACACATTTACCCTCAACGACAAACTTGGGTTTGTTGGTGACGAGTTGAAGCCTAGTGACTTCCTGAAAGTGAAGCATTTTGACTGGCTGCTATTTATTTCTCTCATTGCAATGAGTTTCAGTCATTTTTCCACAACTTGTGTAAAAAAATTTTTTTTAATAGAGTCCGGTATATATCAGCTCATAAGAATGACTGTCTGATCATGTGGGAATATGGCAAATGGTGCACAGCTTGTGCTTGTATCAAGTTCAGAGGACTCCAAAGCGCTTTACTCTACATTCAGTCATTCACATGCTGATGGTGGCGAAGCTACTACACTGTAACCACAGCTGCCCTTGACGAAACGTAAGGCAGGTGAAGTGTCTTGCCCACGGACACGACGGCTGGAACAAATGGAGCCGGTTTCCGAAATGGCAACCCACCAGCTACAGGAGAAACTCCAACCACCATCACCTCAATACAAAATGTGACGTACAATGAAAAACCCAGATGCACATTAAAAACTGTGGGGTTTTTATGTGCATCTGGGTTTAAATCAATTCAAAACTGGCTTTTTTTTTTTTTTTGCAAATCAAGTCTAATCAAGTTTTCAATTTTGAGCAATTTTCACAGCAAGAGTCTCTGTTAAGACGAAGCCTTAATCTGCTCGTCAACAATCTCGAAGGAGATTTTCGGACGCGGGGGCTGAGTGTTTGCAGTTGTGTCCTGCAAACAACCACTTCTAAATAAAGTTATTTTCAAACTCGACACGATCACGGTGTAAAAATGTCACGTTGTATCGGTTCTACACTTTTACACATCAGCATATCAAAAACAAAATGCTCTTTACCAGATTCTAAAATTAGTTCAGTCTTAAACCCAAAGAGCAGAAAAACCTCAGTTTCCAGGTTGAAATTATTCATATTAGAAAGAGTAAACTATGGTGGAAAAACTATAAAGCAGTGGCTTATACCAACCGCCAACAAGAGCAAAAACTACTGGTAGCTGTTTGTCTTTCATATTGTTGTGAAGTAAATTGTTGCTGAGTCTTCTTTACAACAGCAATTCACATAGTTTTTAGGGCATTTGCTTCTCTACGCTCGATGTTCTAATAAGGTCCACTACAGCATGTCAGTCAGGCTGAGATCGGGGTTTTTACTGGCTCCCTGCATCACGCTGAGTCATTATCTTCAGCCGTTCTGTTGTAGATTTGCTGCCATGTTTGGAGACATTTCACTGCAGCCTGACTCAGTTTTTGCTAAACATCGTGACTTGGCGTTTGGGCAAGTTAGAAGTCAACCAAACCAAGCCCAGGTCATCACCTTTCCCCTCTGCGTTTAGCAGTTTCTGTAAGGTGTTTTTCACGAGCTATGTTTGGGTTTCAGCAAACAGAGGAAAAATTCCCTCTTCTGCCCCCCCCCCCCACCCATCTGTCGAAAGAGTCTTCTTCGACAACTTGTGATGTAGTCAGATACAATCCAGCCAGAATAAATTATGCTGCTTCCTTCTGTTTGGACAGACTGATATTCCTTGGCAACTTGAGACATTAAGAAGGTTTTTAGCTGACTTAAATGTTTTCCTGTTGTTGTTAATAATCTTATTGTAGAACAATGGACTTCAGTTCTCCAGGGTCAATGCTGATGTCTTTCCTTCTTAGCGTTGTGTTAACACACATCTGCACGCTCCGACCCATCTGCGAATGATTAGATAGTCCACTGCTTTCAATTTGAACCACCTGGATCTCACTTTACTTCTTAAATCGTTTAGAAACAATGCAGTAGTATAATTAAAACACTTTTTCACTAGTGCTATAAATAATGATGTGTTTTTCTACTCTTGAGGTTAGATTTAAAGGAGCAGTATTATTTTCACATAGTGCCATTAAAAAAAAAAAAAAAAATCTAAATTAAGTAACGATGTTACCTTCAGTTGTTTTAAAAATGCTATATATTCCAGATATGACTTAAAAGAACTTTTACTTCTGGATTTAGCGGCAATGGAGGCCGCCTTGCTCTTTCTGAAACTCCTTCAGGAAATCATCACAACATGGCTCCTCTGTTAACCCTTTACTAATGTCTTTACCAATGTTTCTCTGAGAGGTAACTCATGTAATGAACTCAGCAGATGCTCAGTTTCACCAGGTGTTTGCTAATTGCTCCTGGCTAGTCTGAAGGAGCTGAGTGGGGGACGGCTGCTCTGTGAGGCAGAAGCTCTGAAGGCCGGACTGGGTCCAACCAGGTGTTTTCCACAGCTGAATGGTTGCCATGGGAGATGAAAGGATTTCTCAAACACGCATTAAAGAATCAAAGCAACACTCCAGGTATGTTTGTGATGAGCGAATAACATTATAACATGACATAAAGCTCAAAAAGGTTAGTTTTACATGATACTACCCCTTCAGTTTCTTTCTTTTATGTGTCATACCTTTGTTTTTCCTTTGGGGACATAATAGATCCCAGAGGCTCTAAGCATGAAGTAGCGAGGTTTCCAAACCTTCTTCCCATCCTCTTTTAGGTATAACACGCCCTCGAGATTAGGGACAATAGTGGTAGAACCTCCGAAATGCTCCTATTGTAAGAAAAGAAAAACAGCACAAAGGTCATTCTTGGCTAACCAAGTTAAAATATGTGATGGAGAGAAGACTTTTTTTACGGTTTTTACCGTAGCCAACCTTGATCAGAAGCTCTTTGGCCTGGCTGTTCATATCGCCGCTAGATTTCTTCTTCCACATGTAAAAAATCTGCACATTGGATTAGGGTTAGGGTAGGTAGTGCATTCAGGCATTTCTCATGAAGGGGGCTTACCTGAGGCTCTGTGAACATCATGTACTTTTGAGGGGTTGACAAGAAGTAGAGTTTGTTTTCGCTGAGCCGACTCCAAGCCGACAGCGGCTCCACGAGACACTCGTGATCCTCAAAGGCCCTTTCTGAGACAATTTGAGGAAAACGCTGCCTGAATGAGTGCCCACATGGGTTCGGCTCAAATGTTCGGCGTGTGCTGGTTGCCTCACCAGTCTGCAGGTCTGGATTGGTCTCACACAGGCTCCATTCAATGCTGTTCTCACAGTGTGTCTTCTCAAACAGAGTGTCCAAAACGTCCCTGACTGTCTGCCTCTCGTCCACCATCAGCGTCTTGGAGCTGTTGTCGCTCATCAGCACCTTTATAATCAACTGTAAGGGGCGGAGTGCTTGGTTTAATTGAGCTGTGCTACTGCAGGGTGGAAGTCAGACGGTGAGTGCTGAGTTTACCTTCCTCACTTTGGCTTCTTTCAGTTTCTCCAGAGCCACTTTAATTTTATCCGCCTTCGTTTGGGGCTCGTTCTGGAAACCATGAATTACAACGTCAGAACAACCATGGGAAAGCTATGATCCACGTCATGACGCCTCGTCCTCTGTCTCTTTAAGGCGTTTCTGCTCTTTCTGACACTTTGCCTTCAGCATGTCAACATGACGTTTCTCCATTATGCTATTTACAACTGTTCTTAGGAGTGAGAAGTAGTTTGGAGGATGTGTTCAGCAGATTCACAGATCTATCAGGTGTTTGCTAATATCTCCAGCAGTATTACGTTACATCTGTTTGTTTAACTTCATATCGTGTTATGTTATTTCCTCATCAGAAACACACCTGGAGTGTTGCTTTGATTCATGCATGTATGTTTGAGAAATCCTTGAATCTCCCATGGCAACCATTCTGCTGTACAAAACACCTGGTTGGACCTAGCCCCGCCTTTGAGACGCAGCTCCTCCTCAGAGCTGCAGTTTCCAAGCTTCAGAGCTTCCGGCTGACAGATCAGCCCTCCCCCACTTGGCTCCTTCAGACTAGCCAGCAGCAATTAGCAAACACCTGGTGAAACTGTACATCTGCTGAGCCCTTTATTCGAGCTACTTCTTAGTGGAACGCTGGTAAAAACGTTGTTAAAGGGTTAATAGAGGAGTCGTATTGTGATGACTTCCTGAAGGCGGAGTTTCAGAAATAGCATAAGTTTCATAAAGAGACAGAGGCCCAATTTCAAGGTGTTAAATTAGGAAGTCTAATTTGTTTCAAGGCATATTTGATATATGTAGCATGAAGGTAAAATAGTTACTTGATTGTGCTATAAAATGGCACTGAGCACCTGGAAAATACATAGTACTGCCCCTTTAAGAGGCAGGATAGACCTTTTAGAGGGAGGTGGGCCATCGTAGTTCATTTGAACTCCCAGTGTTTTATTTTAAAAAGTGCCTTAAGACGACATGAAATTACAAAACTGAAACTTGACAGTAGTTCCATTTGGTTTAATATTCTAAACTATTTTTAGCATTTTTTGTTGCGATGTAGCATTAGTATAAAATGTCTGGAAAATATTCTGTATTATTTGTGTGTGAAAAATTGGGAGAAACAGGTAAACAGTGGTGGCCTGATATATTATTTGTGAAGTATATATTATGGTGAAGATAACCTTATAAATAGTAAACCACTACCTTGACAGATTCCAAGTTCAAAGCTTGTAGCTGTTACTCTTTTGTAACATGGTGGCTAACACACATCTACATTTTTAGCATCTAAAATCAATTCCAGACATTAAAAAAAAAAAAAAAAGTTTTACACCACATGTCTGTGTACGTTTGCCCAGACGTCTGCAGAGCATTTCAACGTTGAGCTACTTTGAACTAAAGATTTTCAGGCTTAAATAATTTTGCGTGTGCAGTGCCTTGTGAAACTTTTGAGTCCTACCATTTTCACAGCTCTCGATGACTGAGTGGTGATCATAGGAAAGGTTACCACAGGCTCGGACTCTTGATAAACGGCAGGTGGTGAGGTTTCATTTCCTGTCGGGTTGCGGGTGTCATTGTGTGTGGAAGATTGTTGATCGGTGGACTTTGACTCCAGATCGGCCATCAGATCATCCAGATCATGGTCCTCCAGCTCATTCAGAGACTCTGCAGAGGGATACAAAGGAAAGCTTTGCTTAGACAGACCTTCAGCTTTACACATTCTGTCACCACAGTAAGATTATACACTTTGTGCTACCAGCGAATGCTAGCAGCCTGCATCGCTAAGCCTAGCCTACAGGTGTGTTTATTATTATTACCTTTAACTTCCAAACAGCGTATTAAAATATATATTTTTTGTTATTTCTAAACTACAAAATTCTGTAAAGTACGAGGGACTTCGACTGGGATGCTGCACACTCAGAGAATCCCACATCTGCTACAAATTAGCTTAGCAGCTTAACAGTTAGCTTTTGGCGCCAGGGTGGGCAAACATTTTGTTTCCAGAGAGCCATATTGGTTTAGTTAAAGGAAGAGGAAGACCATACATTTGTTTTGAAACATTATTCTTCCAGGCAGCTACGTTGGAAAACGCTTTTATGCTTTATTTTCTGACGATGACAAGTTTGTAGCGTAGTTAGCGTGTCGGCTCAGAGGTTTCTCCTTGAACACAGTGCCGGTCTCCTGGCACACTGTCTGTGAGATGACATCTGTGATGATACGTGCAGTTTGTGGTTAAATGTTGGACCATTTAGAGGTTTTTTTTTTTTTTTTTTTCTATTTTCTTATGTTTTTAATAATCTGACTCTGCCGAACATGTCTGTCAAAAAACATGAGGCATTTTGTAAAAAAATGCTTCATGTTTTCAGATGTTTTTAGCTTAATAGACGTTTCTTTTAGAGAAAAAAAAAGACTCTGGTGGTTTGTTTAAGCTAAGATTGCACTTGAGGAGATCGAGTCCTGAAAAGAGATTTACTTCTGACCTGCCAATGAAAATTTTTCATTGGTAGAGCAGGTCATTGCACGTCATCCATGTGCATTATTTTTAGCATTATGTTCTGCCATGAGGGTTCATTTTGATGCAAAGCGATAAGGGCTGCATGCTTTTCCCTGGAGATAACTGTTGCTAACGCGGGAGGAAATGAATGCGACATTATCTGCCCGTCATGCATATGCTTATGATATGACCTGGCTGAAATTGTGCAAGCTCAAAAACAAGAGTGAAAAGGACTTCTTCCTTTACATATTAATACATTTCTCTATGCTTTTTTATGCATTGAATATTGAATCTGACTTTCTGTTGTAAATTTTCACAACAAAAGCTAAATTTGGCTAAAATTACATAACATATCATCGTTTTTCCCCCCATTATAAATAAACAGCAATTTTATAATCACAATTTTAATCTTCACAAAAATATAAATCTTGCATGCTGAACGATGAATACATTTCATACTGGAGTTTGGCTATCTCAAAAGCCCGTTAAGCTCCAGCTAATACCGGATTAAAATGTGAATTGTTACATTTGAAATTGAACAAAAATCTGTTCTGACAATTGTCGGAGAGGTTTTTATGTAAATAGTTTGGTTGGAGATGTTTTTTCCACAAAAAAAGGAATTAATCCGCTAACGAGAAATGACGAAGTGGACCTGCTGAAAATGTCTCTTTCCCATTTCGCCCATAACTCCTCATCCTTCTGATCCGCAGCCGCTTCCGGCTACAGAATGTTGAATATTTGCCAATTTATTTTGCACCAGCTTCAGACGAGACAGTGGAGAATGAAGGAGAACTTGCCGTTCAGGTTGTTGAAGCCGATGGAGAAGGAGCTCTCCTGCGGAGCCGCATCCTCTCCTGATGAAACTGTGGCTTCTGCTAGACTCTGCAGAGAGACGTGGAGGGACCGGAGGTCAGGGTTCGAATTAAATACTGAACAAACTAGAGGACTAACAGAACAAAGAAAGTTTAGTTAGTTACATTTTAACTCACTTGTGATATTTGCACAAGAAACTAGAAGAAAAATATTTGGTATGATTTTGCGTTTTTGCAGGGGATGGAAGCCTTAGAGTGATCAGATAACCATCAGCTGATTTTGTCAGTGGGCCGGGCTGCTGTCAGTTGGAGTCCCTTAAAGGATTCAGCGTGCTGAGGTGAGTGAATCTTCATTAGTGAAGATGGAGCGCTTGCATAGAGTCGCATGAGTTTAATTAATGCACCTGTCTGGACCTTCGTTTTTGAAAACGTTGAGCATGTATTTATGTATTTTGCAGCAGTGGTGCGTTTGGGGATATCTTTGGCATCTCAGAGTTTTGATGCTCAAAAATCTAGAGCAGCCAGGCCTGGCTGTCGATGTAGTTCGTACTTTTACAGTTTTGGAAGTGATAGGGAAAGGCAAAGCTGGAGTTTTAATTACTTAATGCTCTGTTTCCTCAAAGTCAATTGAAGCAGATAATTAATATCATGATGGGGATGTTTGTACTTTAATTTAAATCCTTCTCATTCACACTCTCTTGTTTGAAATTGCTTTTGCAGTTATGATTTTGCAAAGAAAGTGCTCCAGACTATCAGTGTGAGTCAATCTGACATGAACTATAGACTGATCCCATTCTCTGCATTGTTCTCCTTTCCAGCCTCTATGCAGACAGTGGAGAAGGAGAATGGTAAAATATGCCTCAGGCTGAGTCTCCATGAGGCATCAGAATGCTCTTGGCGAAAGCTGCAGTTTTTATGATGAGAGGCTTACATCATCTCCACGGTCTGACGTCCGACCCACATGCAAGCGGCTTCGGTTTTCATCCTGTTTATGATCTGCAGAGTCCAAACATAAGAGCGCCTGGTGTAATCTGATATTATCCGGACAAACGTGGCGAACGTCGCATGATTAACTTATTCCCCAAACGTTGATTTGAGCAGAGAAAGGAACCGTCTTCTGACCGTTCTGGTGACACTTAAAGTAGAGCATCTGCAGAAGAAACGGCTGCGAGGCCTTTAAGACTTAAAGCACAGTTTTATTAAGACAGAAAGTCATTTATCAGTGGTATCTGGTCCTGTGGGATCGTTCCTTTAGCTGAGCTGACCCACAAACATGTGAGGCTGCAGCTCATTTTACGAGAGGCAAAGCCATCAGTAAATGAGTCAGAAACAAACGGATCTGTTGATGCTCAGGAGCCTGAAACATACCAACACAGACAGTTAGGAAAGTCAAGAGATCCTGAAGAAATGATGAATTCATCAGGGTCAGACTGTTAGGTGAAGGGAGTTATCTGTAAACAGCTGTTATCCCAGAAAAGAAGAGAATGTGAATTGAGAAATGAAGAGGAATCATTTGGCCATACATTTACAATTAATATTCTGAGCCGCACAAGAATGTTGGCGAATTTAAACCAACCAAAGTGTCAGGGAAACATCGTCTCGCCAAATCATTCATATCCATGAATTGTCACAATCGCAAACCTTCTTGCATTTCATTTTTGTTGCTGTTTGTTTCTTTTGCCAATAAAAATATGAAAAGTGCGGTGGGCATCTCCACCAAGTCAACACTTCGAATAAGCACCTCTTAATGCAAACGGAGCACTAAGCATTGTGCTGCTTGCATGTAGAGCCTCCTTGTCTACAGTCCAATCGCTAAACCTTACCTACAGTTAAACCATAAATTTACATACACATAAAAAAAGGACACACTTTTTTTCTCTCCATGATGTTAAGACAGACCAAACTTCTCTTGTTTTAAGTCTGTTAGAATTTTTAAAAAAATGATTTCTATTTGCTAAATATCACAATAACGAGATAATTAATGTGTCAGATTTAAACGTATTTATTTATTAAAGTCTTCAAAGTCAAAAGTTTGCATACAGAATTATTACTGTCTCTTTAAGCAATGAGCGAAAATCCAGACGATGATGTCATGGCTTTTGAAACTTCTTATAGGTTAATTGACACATTTAACTAAATTGGAGACCTAAACACAATACTTTCTTGTTAGGCATAATTGAATTTTAAGACAAAAAAAAGATTAAAATCTCTTGATTTTACAAGCTCTGTGGAATGTAAGCAAAATAATACTGGTGCTTTTAATTTAAAGTATTTTCTGGTGGTTTATATTACTTAAACAGATAATATGCTGCTGCCTGAAATACAAGCCCAAAGCATAACTGATCCCCCTCCATGCTCACAAGATGTTTTTTTTTTTTGTTAGATTTTTTTTGTCTTTGAATGAAAGCTGCTTTCACTTTCTCAAAATACTGTTTCAAGAGCTTTATGTAGAAAAAAAGTCTTTGTTGCATATTGGGACTTTAATGCTGCTGTCAAACTATCAGAAAGCCAATTTCCTTTTTCTCACGCAATGATGCATTTTAGGTGAAAACTGATTTTCCTCATTGATTCAACGATTCAAATAAATGAACATAATGCGATGTACAGTGAAAAAAATAATAATAATTGGGTTGTAGCTATTGTTGTCCAAATTTCAGCATGTTCTGTCACATTTCTTTCCTCTGACGCTGTATGTTCACTTTTGATCAACACCAACACGCCGACTGACTTGCATCAAATGGACAGCCTTCCACCAGCTGGCTTGTTTATAAATTAGCATTCAGACGGACAAGTTGGGGAAAAGAAAAAGAAACTTACCTGAGAGAGATGATCCATCTCTCCCAGCAGGTCGCTGAACATAGCATCGATATCATCCATCTGCCAAAAGTAGCAAAATTATTACTATACATACATTTCCTTGCAAAAGTATTCATATCAACTAAACTTTTTTTTGTCATTTTGTTATATTACAACCCAAAAAACCTACTTTTATTTTATTGCGATTTTATATGGCGGACCAACAGAACGTACAGGGCACGACCATAAAAATCTAAAAACTGTGATGTGTGTTTGTAACACACCTCCTTTACTCTGATTTTCTTAAACGTAACTGAGTGCAACAAATTGGCTTCAGAAGTCAACTTATTTGTAAATGGAGTCCATGAGCTTTCAGAGCATGCAGACGGGAATGTGGAACCAAAAGAGTCGTAGCTTACAGCTAAGCAGTACGAAGGTGCATAAAGCATTTCCCCTTTGTTTGCCTGAATCCCTGCGTCAGCTGCCCAAATGTATTCAGAAAATCTAATGCAAGAAAATGTGCTTGTACTATTTTAATAAGATTACAGTTAAAAGTTTGTAAAGTGATTCGACTCTGCTTTGGTCTTTGTTTTGCCCTGGTCTCAGCCTTCCTCAACGTCTTGGTCTTGTTATGCTGTGGCCTCGATTCCGACACAAGTCAGACTGCAAACTTGAGTCTAATTGAGACTCTGAGGCAACACCTGACAACTGATGTTTGTTGACGCCGCCACTCCAATCAAACAGGCAATAATGCCAGTTTCCAGATGTGCATAGGTGATATAAACGCACCCCAAAAGACATGGCATCCATGTACAAATGTTCACTTGACAAGTGAACATTTTCTCAAATTAGTGTCACCTACTTTGTGTTAGTCTATTACACATAAAATAGTACACTAATGTTTGTGTCTGGAACTAAAAAATAAAAAATAAAAAAAATGGAAGAGACATGAATACTTTTTGCAAAAGTTGAAAGAGAATATGTAGTCGATTACAAAGCAAAACTCATCAGGAACTGAAAACTTACTGACATTTTCAGTTCAGCTTAAAATCAGTTTCGGGCAAGAAGCACCGAAAATCGAAACGGTTTGGGCTTAATCCACTGACTTCACAAAAAAAACCCAACAACAAACAAACAAACAAAAAAAAAAAAAACGTTGGGCAGCTTGAGCGACGCTCTGCACCACAATGCAGAGTTGTAAAGAAGCGGAGCAGAAATGGTTTCCATGCTCCTCTGGCTGTAAACAAATACAAAGTGCCTTTAATCCCCGGGCAGCGTGCTTCACCCCCAATAAACCCAGAATCAAAGAGGTGGGATCTCAATCTAGTCGGCGTCCCACGTCAATTTCTATCCACACACCTTGTCCAAATGCATTCACTTAAGCCTCTGCGTAAGGGGCACGAAATGTTTTGCATTTATTGTTCCAGCTAAAAGGTTTCGTTGAAGTGGACAGTGCTTCACGAAACTCAGCGTCTGGGTGTTTCCATATGGAGGCATCGTCTTGCCAGCTCCCAGGATCAAAAATATACCTTTCATGTGGATTTACTTCAAAAAGCAAACTGAAGAACGAGCTTTGTGTGGTTGCCAACTTGGTGAAAGCACTGCAGAGAGGGGCCCAGACCCACCAAGGGTTTCAAAGGCAGAGATTATAGAAACTACAAGCAAGAGATATAAAGAAGGGAAACGGCGAAGAAGGACAGTCATGGTGCACCCGCATTTTGACTTTACACATTGGTTTGGTTTGTGACTGAACGAACGCACACAATCATAAAACTTTCAACTAACTTTTATTTTACTTTATTTTTTATTAAATATTATTTCTCAGCCACTTCTTGTTGGATTCACTGGTATGTTTTGGGTCACAGTCCCGCTGTTGGTTCCAATTTGTTTCTGTTTTAGTTTTTATTTTTCCAGACGCTCTCACATTATCCACAAGGAACCTGGATTTTTAAGGTAGATTCCATGACAATGAGCTGGCCACATCCTGCAGCAACAAAGCATTCCCAAAACTTTCCCAAACATTCGCCTCCATTCTTCACCGTTTTGTTGCAGAGTGTTAGAGTACGTTCACACCAGCCTTGTTTAATCAAACTCCAGTCATCTCTCTCTACTCAGAGGCTCCTGAACCTGCTATCGATGATCTCCTACTTTCTCAATTCCACAAAATCTGGCCCATCGTGGACCCTTCACCAATATAACTATGGCGTAAAAGGAAACCCGGATCAGAGTCGATCTTTCCTGACTCATCATGAAATATGTTTTGAATTAGAAACTTCTTCTTTCCCCACTGTGATCAAAAATTACCATCGTCGTTTCAATACTTTTGGTTAAAGCTAAACAATGGGAAACTGCAGCGTGGCAGGACAAATATGCTTCTTGTGCTTCTTAATCTTTTTTTAAAGAGTGTTTGAACACGCAGTCCCTGACTGGGAGGCATCTAGGGGTTAGCCATCCTTTAATCAAGGCAGTAAAAGCATCATAGCTCATAATTGATTTCCATTTGCTAGCTGCAGACAGTTCCTGGAATCAAGATGCATTAATGGGTGTGTCGATGCAATGACTTAATGATGCCATCAAAGATGAACGGGCCACCCAGGACTACCCAAACTCACTCAATGATTTGGAAGACTTGGCGACTCGGGCTTTGAAACTTATCTCTCATCAGCCACTAACTTATCTCTTCCCTCCTCAGCGGCTCCTGAATCTGCTGGTTTCCTGCTTTTCCACTTTCAGAAATCTTTAAACGATTACTGATTGCATCTGGCTGGAATTTTGGGTCCTCAGTGCTTTTCATTACAGTTTTATACCATTTCAGACAATGTCTTCATGAAGCTTTAATAACAAATATTTGTACTATCTAAACTTTACACAATGCCAATAAATGAAACCGTCTCTGGTACATGAATCCAGGATTTTTCTCTGCAGAAACAGCTCCTCATTTCTATACAAAAGGCAAATAATCCACTGTAAACACAGACAAACTGAGCAGAAACACTGTGCTGTTCCACTTGTTCTTATGTGTAAGTTCGACTAAACAGACTACCCATTTGCTATAATAAAGGGGAACAGGTACACATCCTTTGACGCCAAGTCTTGTTTTCGCATGAAAGTGAAAAACACTGTCCAAACTTGCGCCTGCACCAGATGTGGGAATTAAGATTTGGTTTCTGTCTTCTACTGCCTTTCAGCTGAAGAACCGCAATCGGGAATAAATACATAAATAAATGAAGTTTTTGAGCATGATTCGTGACAAACCCACAAGCGTTGTATGATGCCACTGTCTCATCTTGGGCCTGTCAGGAGTTGTCGCTCGGTGGGAGGCATCGACAAAACGAGAAACTGCTGCGAAACCACTGGGCACGTAAACAATCGACTTCAACCCAAACTTTGGGTAAGAAAACGATTTATCAAGGCCGTGCGCTTGGAAGGAACACGACAACAGCAAACTGCTGACAGGCGACTGTCATGTCTGGTCCCTTTTTTGTGGCTGAGAGCTTCTTGGTGTTTCCTAATTAGTTGCACGTCCCATGTGTTGGCTCCTGTGAGCGAACATGTGTTTGACTTAATCGAGGCTGACGTGGATATTCTGGTATGTAACTCTTAAAATATCCGGCGGCGTGCACATGTAAAAGAGCTTTTCGTCGCAGAAAAAAGGCCTGATGAGTTTTAATGTCGCGTCCGCTGTGTGATGCTGAAGCCCGGCGTTTCACTCAGACCCGCCGAAGCACAATCGTTCACGGAAGAAATTCTAATTTTCCTTTGTCGTGCAAACAGATAAAAGATGTTGTCGTGACAAAGACAGTTCTCACACTACTCTCTTTGCGTTGCATCTGCACCAACTAAACTTACAGAAAACAAATACTACTTTATAAATGCAACATACAGTTAAAAATCAACTGAAAAGACACACACACACACAAACACACACACTCATGCACATCTCTGCTAACTATAGCTGTAACCTTCTTACCTCTCCTGCCTTTCAGACATGCGATCACCACCGAGAATGTGACTGATGAACAGCCCACAGGTCACTTTTATAAAGTAACCACATGTCCACATGACTTCTAGCAGATATTCACTGAACTTCCTGAGAAATCAGGAAGTAGATAAAACTTCTCTAGTAAAACCCTGTGAGGTTTAGTGTTTTTTTTTTTCTCTAAACATATTGCATACATGTGCTTCTACACCACAGATAGACTGGGGCATTTCTTCACGCCTGTGTGACTCCGCCACTGCAGAGAAGTCTCATTTAAATACAGCTGCATTGAGCATAAGTAGCCTTTGTGGCTTGTTTGTCTAAGTTGCAGCTATTTACATTTTCTTAATTACTCACCAGGCATCAGATAAAGAGAAGCTTAAGTTATTTTCCAACTTTCGATCAACCAAAGGAGTTTATTTGTATACCGCATTTCAGCAATAAGGCAAATCAAAGCGCTTTGCATCATGAAAACATAAAAACATCAAAGACACATCATGCAGTCAATAACTGCACAATGTGTGCCATGATAAATCATCGATTCATATCAAATATATTGGTCAATGCTCCAGTAACTATGGCTCAAAGGTGGGTTTTTAGTCCAGATTTAAAGGAACTCAGTGTTTCAGCACTTTTGCAGTTTTCTTGAAGTTTGTTCCAGATTTGTGGTGCACAGAAGCTGAATGCTGCTTCTCCACGTTTGGTTCTGGTTCTGGGGATGCAGAGCAGAACCAGAACCAGAAGACCTGAGAGGTCTGGAAGGTTTAACGAACACAAATCTGTCTGGGTTGAATGCTATGTTTTCTTGTTTTTACCCAGTTTTGAGAGTGGCTAAGAGGAATGGCTTCCCTGTCACGTGAGAGGATAAATGTAATCAAGGGATGCACTGCAAAAAAACAAACAAAAAAAACCTACCAAATCTTACAGAGTATTTTGGTCTAGTTTCTACTGCAAATATCTTACTACACTTGAAATAAGACAAAACTAACTTACAGTAACGTCTCAACAGGATATAGATGCTTGTTTTAAGTCAATAATTCTTTAATATTAATTTTAGAAAGTATTAGTTCCAACTAACAGTGGAACTAATATTTATTTTTTAATCAATATTGAGGAATTATTGATTTAAAACAACCTATAAATTGAGGAAAGGTTACTTATAAGTTAGTACATTTGAAATAAGACAAAACTAAGTATTTGCACTATAAATTACACCAGAAATACTTTGGTGTTTTTGCAGTGTGTCAGTGAGATACACCTCACACTGTCAAGTGTAATGCTGTACACTTGACATTACATAATGAAGCTTCAATATTACCATACATGCAATACTTCCTGGTTACTTTATATTCACCTATATATAAAAATTAAACAATATTTTGAGCTGCTAAGGGAAATGATGCAAAAAGTAAAAAGGAAGTTAAAGAATAAAATATGTAAGAAGTATTTTTTTAAAAATATATGCATATTTTTACTGTTTGTCTGAGGGTTTGGGGTTTTCGAAAGGATCAAGCTGTTTCCTGTCACTACGGTTTGAATATCCAGATTCCTTTCTCACTCGGCCGTATGTTTTGATCTCTCCTTGGAATGTAACACAATAAAAAGAACTACGAAAGGAAATATGGTGAACAGAATCCTTTGACGATACGTTCCTTTGACAGAGCCGTCCAACCAGGGCCGCCGCATGCTGGTTCTGGACACAACCTTCCACAAATCCACTGGATCCGGTCCCGACCTGAGGACCTGTCAGTCAACGAAGCTCTGCTTGGCCATGATAACGTACTGATGTCCCGTTCCAATAATTCAAAAATAAATCAGTGGAGAAGTTAAGGGGAGGTTTTCACACCTAACACTGTATCCTCGGTGTACAAAGGAGCGTTAACTCAGACCCTTCCTCCCAGCAGCTGATAAACTTTGTAACCATCACAACTCCCAACAGACTCAATAACTCTTTATAACTTTACTCTTATTTGCAGTTTTTCTCATTTCAAATAACATTCCTGCACATTCCTGCTGTTTTTTACACACTTATGCATACATGCACAACTTGTGCTTTTTTTCTTTAAATTACCTGCCATGCTGCACCTTCCTTGAAATATGAATATGCCATTTTTAATAACTGTACAATATTACTTTATGTTGTAAACTTGCCCTTATTACCGATGGTCACACTGCACTTTTTTACTACCTATGTATGTTTATTTATTAGCATGTGTGGACTTAATTTCCCGCTGGGCTCAATAAGGTATTTTTTAATTTGAATTGAATTTTATGAATTCGGTTGTTACTTTTGAGTCTATTTGTACTACTCATGCACAATGAAATTGTCCATTAGGGACAAATAAAGTTATTTGAATTGGATGGAAATAAACTGAAGAAACGTGGTGCCTATATTTGAACCAGTTTCAGAGAAAATCTACAGGAAGTTTTAAAAACTGTAATTTTGACACCAAATTTTTGTTTTGTGTATAATCTCAAATCGTAAAGCGTCAAAAATATATTTGAATCTCTTGACCAATGTGAGTATATGTAAATTCTGGTAATACTACGGTATCAGTCTTACTGTATCATCTAATGTTCATTTACTATTAGGAACAGAGGGGAAGTATTCTTAGAACTGAGAGAAGTCACTGATTATAGTAATAATGTTCGTAGAATGACGACTTGTGTGAAGGCTAAAAAGAAGAAATAGAGAATTTTCAGGCAATTTTTAATCTTTAGTAAACGGAAATGAGAGTCGTAATGAACTGTCATAAAGACGACTTAACAGTTTTGGCCCTAATTTTAAGAAGACCATGTTCCAAAAGACCCACCACAGCCTTTTTATTCAAGCAAGATGAAAGTCTGAATGGCATTTCAAGTTTATAATCCCTACAGAGCACGTCGGCCTGTTATACCCCCCACAAAATAGATCCTTTCATCAAAACGAAAAGTGTGGAGAGAAGGTAAACGTTTCCCTAAAAAGCCCCTCTTTCCTTTTGAAGTTGTAAATGTCTTGACATGATGGGTGCAAATATTAAAAGGCGTGAAAATAAAATGGAGATATCCAAAAATATTAACCAAACAGGATATTTGGGGGGATATTTGGGTGACTCGGTAGAGAGGTATGTCCGGGAAAGCTACGGGTTAATTTAAGACTAGGAGCAAAGCCTGGTGCCAATTAGGAGCAGCGAGCACCACATGTGGGCGAGACGCAGATAGAAGCCAGAAGCAGTGCGCGATGGAGGCAAGCTGAACCAGTGCAGTAAAGTTGAGTTATGTAGATATTTGCGCAGAAAGATTTTCTTTTTTTCCCCTCCTCAACGTGATGATCAAACAGGACCCGTTTGATCATTACTTCTCATCATAAATCTGAGAAGTTGGACGAGTGAAAACTTTGGCCACCGTCCCCACGTGGCCCCTTGCACATTTCTCCCGTGGAACAACTGCAACATGAGGACTGCCAGTGCGACCTTAGTGCTCCTTTCCATTTCTGCCCTCTGCTCGGGGAGCGGACCCGAGGCGTGCCAGGGGACACGCTGCTTCCCTGGCCAGGAGTGGAGCAGCAGACCGTGCGTTGGAGCACACTGCCAGGGGCGCACGGAGGCGTCCGCTCCACGAAGGCAACCCCACCACGCTGCGCAATCTAGGACAGGGCAGGTTTATCCCAGCTACCAGCAAGACGGTCAGTTCCGCCGTCACCACCAAGCTCAAAGCACCCCGATATCCTCCTACAGCGGTGTGCAGAGTCAGCACGGAGGCTTTGGAACCGACGGCACCAGGAGGACGAACCCCAGGACTATCACGGCGGAGGTGTTTCATCCCGGCTGCTCCGGCGGGTCTTGTCCGACCACCGTTTCTCATCGTGGAACCAATGATGACAAGGGAGAGTGCAAAGGGATTGGGTGCAGATTGACCCCCAGGGTGAGCCAAAAGCAGCAGCCGTGCGTCGGGAGCGGCTGCAGGATGCATGCTGGAGACGACGGGAGGCGAGACTCTTCTCCTGTTCAAGCGACGGACAGGGCTGCGCAGTTCCTCGGCGAGCTCCCGGACTTTGGCTTGGATCGTGGCGCTTGGATACAGCTGGCATGTGATATGAAGCCAGGTGAGTGTCAGAGGAGACTTCAGGGTCTCTTCTAGGATTTTTTTTTTAAACTTGTGATGAAAGGTTGGCTCGGGTTGGGGAAAAGGGTTAGTAATATTCAAATATTACACACGTCGCAGTAACAGCTATCATTTCTATCTTGAGGGAACTGGAGCACAGTAAATTCCTTTGAGCATCCCCATCTAACTTTAATGTCTTCCTCAAATCCCTTCCTCTTCTGAAAATATTTCAATATACTCTTCCGAAAATGCAATTACCCAGCATTAATCTTTGACTCGCTGTTCGGAAAAGTGCAACATATAGTAACAGGCTTGAACTAAAAATGCATTTAACTTAACCTTCCTTAGGTACTTCATACTGTCATCTCTGGCTTTCCTGCAGTCCTCAGAGCAGTGCAGTGCGCAGTAGTCAATTTCACAGTCAGATAGGCTGGAGCCGATGGTGTTGGTTTATCAAAATCAAGGGAATTTTGATATTTAATGATATTTAAACTCAATTCAAACTCTGATTGTGGTTAGCATAAGTGTGCAAATATAGGCTTTATATCCTCACCTTCCTAAAATAATGGCCTAATCACATGTGAGAGGAAGTCCTGAACTTTGTCTGATTTATGTTATGTAGAGGAGAGGTCATTAAAATACCTCTTAATTCGGAAAAAACAAAAAACAACAAAAAAAACAGTTACATAAAAAGTTTCTGTCTCCCCCACAGGGTCCAACGAGGTTCCATCAGAGGACGCTCTTGTCCTGCAGCTTCAGCTATCAAAGGGCCAGGAGAGATTCGTCGAGGCCCTCAAGGGCCAACAGAGTGAGGTCAAGGAACTGCAGAGACTCCTCAGTGAACAGCAGGGGGCGCTTGTTAACCAGCAGAGGGAAATACTGGAGCAACAGAGGAGGATGTATGATCAGATGGAGCAAGTACGTCTGCAGCGACTGATGAGGAATGATTAATGTTTGGTTACTG